CTGAAATATGTAAAACCAAAACACCTCCCCCCCTCAGGTTATCCTTACTCATTTGATAGAATGATCGGGGAGAGGAGCAGAGGTGTTGCTGCATTATGCAGCATGGGTCCTGGGGGAATATAGGTCCTTAAAAAAAATGTATGTCGCTAATTCCTAAAGAAAGTCCTCTGAGCTCTCTCACTTATCGGTTTTCCATCTCTCTGTGTGCTTCCTCCCCCCCAATGCTGGGCCATTACTTAAAACTGTTCCTACAGGTTCCTTATCAATCCCAGTGAAGTGAAAGGAATGTCACAGGCTTAATGGAACACTTTGCCAATCAGCACTATTTTAGTGGCATATCTGGCATTTTAAAGACAAAAATCTCTTTTCCAATATCCCCTACAAACAGGGTGGAGGAGTTGATTCAGAGAAAGGCAACATGCCATGAGCCACAAAATGCTGCAGCCCTTACTGAAAGTGACTAGAGTTTTTAAGCTGGTGGTGGAATAAGGAAAATACCACCAATGGTCACTAGATGTCCCTCTTGTGTCTTAAAAGAAACATGCAGCCACTTCCCCTCCCTCTGGGATCAAAGTAAATGGAAGACACGATAAAGAAAGAGGACTTTATTTGTGGTGTTGTGCCTTAAATGCATAATGGGTTTTAGTCAGTCAGATAAATTCCAGCTCTAAGGAAGTGTTTTCAATGACCATTTTGTCAATATAATTATTAAATGATTATTATTAAATGTACATATTAACAAAGAGATCAGAAGAACCGATAGCATTGTAATTACCAGCAGATACAGGGAAGCTGCTTTGGCAACTGCAGCTTCATGTGGGGGAACAAAGCAGTGACATGATGACCCTAATTTCCTTCCTTGCTTGTTATTTAATGGTGGGAAGTTTGTTTTGGTGTCCTCCCGCGGTTCCCAATATATGTCACAAAAGATTGGGATCATGGGGATTTTTAAAGATAAAAGCCATTGGTATTGTAAACATTGTCAGATCTCCTTAATAAAGGAGATCCAATGCAGAGCATGTCTTAGGAATGTGATTGCAATTACAAAGGTAATGACATTGTACATGAATTGCATTCCCCTCTTTAGCTTTAAAAAGACAGCAGAGTATACACATTCTATTAAGTCTCCCTGAGGTAGCAGGTCTGCTGCCTGCTTATCTTGTTGTGAGCATCTTTTTAAATGCCACTGCAATGTTAATAATTTTACCTGAGTAATTCTTCCATTTCTCGTTACCTGGGGGATTGTTAATGGCTGAGAATCCTATTCAGACTTTCTCCAGCTCAATCAAATCTTGAAGGCGCCAGTTTACTTTTATTGATCAGTGGGTTCCTGACAAGGTTTGCCACAAGGAAGCATCATCATCCCCCTTTTTTTTTTTTAACTCAAAAGGGAACAGCTTGTTTTAAAGTTTGCAGCTAAAAGCTTCTAAGCATATCTTAAAAACATCTGAGCACAATGCTAATTGTTCTTTTAAAATGTCCAGCCAATATTTTAGAAGGCTGCCAAATACACAAATAACATCCTGTGTTTGAGACAAAACCTTCTTAATGCCCTTTTTAGGCCTTTTTAATTATACCTAAATGCACTTTATTGCCACACACCGAGATCAAAGCTAAATAACAATGTTCAATACAATGGAGATTTTGTTTTATTTTTGAAAGACATAGGATGTTGCCATGTTACCTTCCCCAATACTTATACTCTGCATTTCTGAGATATGTTTACAAAATTAACACCCTGCATAAAATACATGTATTGTCAACCATATAGTTAGGTTGCATATCTTTTTTTCTCCTGTGTTTCTATGCTGAAAGTCCTTGACACCTAAACTATTGTTAGAGCTTCCTCCAATGCATTAAAGTCAATGAAAAGACCCCTATTGACTTCAGTGGGGATGATTTAGGCCCTCAGTATTATGCTATCCTACAGCTTTTCCAAGTTTACTGTCCTACTGATATTCTTTGCCTTAATTTTATATACAGTAAGTTTCAATGGGAACCCCTTAGTATATTATTCAAATATAAGGTGTCCAACCCAATAAAAATCTGACAAGTGGGTTAATTTTGGCATACATAATATTTTTTAAATATACATTAAGAAGGGCAACTGGATCGGGACCTACGTGTTAGAAGTAGACAGTAATGATTATAGCAAATATTATGAATCTATTTCACTTTCATTAATCTCACGGTGAAAGTGTAATCATCAGCATTATGACTCTATCAATATTGTCACAGTGGCTAATTATTAGTTTACTCACCTGCTCTGAATTTACAAGTACAGGAGCTCATGGTATGAGTCCCTTTAAACTTTTTATCAAATACTTTTTATAAGATGTTCATTGCTCCCATAGACAGTTCATTCTAAATAGTTGACAGAGAAACCTTTAGACAAAGATGTGCTGAACTGCCTCACTTGTGCTTAACACATTGAGGCTAAATCCAGACTTTTCATTCAATGTGGAACATTCCTGCAGGAAGGAGCTGATGAAATCAGTAATTAAAGGGCCCACTCTTGCTGTTTCAAAACTCCCTTTTGACTTTTTCTTGACTACAGACTGCATGCTTGGACTTTAAATATAAACATGAAACCAATACATTGAACCTACCAAAAACCAGCCAATCAACCAACCAAAAAATAGAAACACAGACAGACTCTTGTTCTCTGACTCAGCTCCCAGCCTACACTATTTAATTTACAAGCCTACTGTCAGTTTCATTGATTAAAGATTCAGTCTGTTGGAAAGCTAGTCATGGAAGAGTTTAAACACCCCTGCTTTCTATTCAGTGACCCTAATTATCAGGCAGAGACAATGCAAGAAAAGGCCTTCTCCTGACAGTGTAACATTCATTATGGCTAGTTGATCTCAATTCAATGCACATTCCCATGTTTTTGGATTAAAGCCGTTTTGCTGTTGTTGTGCAACATCAATATTTGATGTGTTGGGCCTGAGAGAGATGTGTCAAAGCCAATGGCAACACAAGAGATCTTGTGTCATATGTTGTTATATTTGTATTCACCACTTTTAGCCTTTTTTGGGTGAATTTTTTTTGTAAATGAAAGGTAATGCATTGAAGTAATGTCAACGAGAAACACATGATGTGGCAAACATGATTTTCTCCCTCAAAAGTAATAATGCATGATATGCAGTCAATATCTTAGATGAGCAAAGCCAGAGCTCAAACACTGCGGGTGGCTCTACTATTTAAAGAGGAAAAAGCCTTGCTGTGTTTTGCCTCCAGCTTATTGCCAAACGCCTCATAATATTAAGGGTACATTTCAAAGTCGGGGGCTGCAGGGGGAAGAGAAGGAACCGTCCCAACATTTACATCCATTGGCAACCAGACAAAACACATATTGACAGATAAAGCCCTGGTCGGTTTCATAAAAGGGATTGAAAGCAACAAGGAAACAGTCCGATCCTCGCTGCATCCCTGGCCCAGAAGGAAGCTACGAAGTGCTCGAACTGCCCTGCCCGCTCTTAGGTACCTCTCTGTAAGTTTCTCCGGCTGGCTCCCTCCCCTTGCTCCGCTTTGGCCCCTCCCCTGGGCCAGGAACGCGGTTCCATGGCCGCTGATTGGCTGCAGCCCGGCGTAGCTCAGGTCCGGAGCCGCGCTCTCTCTCCAGACTGTGTGGTGGCCAGGAGTTTGCAGCAGCAGCAGCCGCCGCAGCGGCGGCGAGCGAGGTGGAGACGGAGCAGTAGGGAAGCCAAGCTGCCCAGCGCTCTGGCACACGCGTGGCACCGCTGGGGTGGGCTTGCCCCAGGCACCAGCACCCCCGCCGCCAGCCCTGCAGCAGCTGCGGCTCCTCAGGATTTGGGAGGCTCGGATTTGCTGAAGAACTTAAATAAAAAGCTCCTCACTCGTCCACGGCGTCATTTCTGCAGGTTGGGCACACACACGCAGCCAGCCAAGCACGGCGCCCGCCTATCGCTCCCCCGCCCGGCGTGCGTCCAGCCACGATTCAGTGACTATGAGCCTGGAAGTGAAACTTTCCTGGAGCGAGCTGTATTTTCCCTGCCCATTCGCAAACCAGATGAATGCGAGATAATAATGGAGAGGAAAAAGGCAAAGGCTGTCTCCGAGCTCAGCACGCCAGCGCTCTGATTCACCGCGGAGCAGCCCGCACCTGCTGTAAGCGCCGCGGACTTTGCCTAGCCAACCTATTGCTCCTACTTTCCCCGGGCGAGCCGAAGGAAGAGGAGGAGCAGTGGGGCAAGTAGCCCATTGCAGCTGCTGTACAAACTGCTGTAAGAACTTGCGTGGCGGATACGGTGTGAATGACTAGCTCGGGTTTCTAAAGGCGAGCGTGACTTTCCACTGCTAACTCTATGACTCTCAGAGATGACACAGCCTTCTCCATCTCCAGCCCAGGGAAGTGGCTCCGCGTTAGGGCCCTGAGGAACCCCCACCCCCAAAATCCGACCCCCGGGAACATCTTATTTTGCAGACGCTCCCCTCCCCCCCTCTTTCCAGGCTGTGACTTATGATCGGACAAGGCTTCCCCCACCCTTGCACGTTTGCAGCCGCACTTTCACAGCAGCCTCTGTCTCAGTATCTGCTTGCTTGCATTTTTTTAAATAGGATTTTATTTTTAATGCAATAACCACGAGGATGTGTTTAAAGTGTGCCTGGTCTCTGCAATGAGGTCTATGCTATTTTTTTTTCGGGAGGGGGGAGATATTGCGCATGCCAGGTGCAAATAAATCCAGATTCCCGCATATATTGACTGCTCTGTGATTTTTTTTTATCTCTCTATAAAAGACAATTTTTCTATAACTTCTAACTTGCATGCACATCGAGGGGCGGAGAGCCCAGCTTATTTTATTGGGGTGATCGATGCTAACTTTGATAAAGAGGTGACACTGACTGCCGGGGGAAGCAGACGAGTTGAGTGTGTCTGTAGACGCGAGACAATTTTTGCCTCTGATTTTACCCTATTTTAAAAGAAACCCCACCCCTGTTCCCCCAGACAGCCAAGCACCAAAACAACACCCCCCCTTCCCCGCGCGCCTGCTTCAGCCGGGCTATCAACAGGCAGCCAGGAGGGAAGCTGGGCGCCAGGTGTGCGGAACCGGGAGATGGATATTCTCCCCGTCCTGCTCGCCTTGCTGTGGACCGGGGCAGGAGCCCTGATCAACCTGAAGTACTCGGTGGAGGAGGAGCAGCGCGCCGGCACGGTGATCGCGAACATCGGCAAGGACGCCCGGGAGGCTGGCTTCGTGCTGGACCCCCGCCAGCCCGCCGCCTTCCGGGTGGTCTCCAACTCGGCCCCGCACCTGGTGGACATCAACCCGGGCTCGGGCTTGCTGGTGACCAAGCAGAAGATCGACCGGGACTTGCTGTGCCGCCAGAGCCCCAAGTGCGTGATCTCGCTGGAGGTGATGTCCGGCTCCATGGAGATCTGCGTGATCAAACTGGAGATCAAGGACCTGAACGACAACGCGCCCAGCTTCCCCACCGACCAGATCGAGCTGGAGATCTCGGAGACGGCCAGCCCGGGCACGCGGGTGCCGCTGGAGAGCGCCTACGACCCGGACTCGGGCAGCTTCGGCGTGCAGAGCTACGAGCTCACCCCCAACGACCTCTTCGGGCTGGAGACCAAGACGCGCGGCGACGGCTCCCGCTTCGCCGAGCTGGTGGTGGAGCGCAGCCTGGACCGCGAGACGCAGTCCCACTACAGCTACCTGCTCACGGCGCTGGACGGCGGCGACCCGCCCAACTTCGGCACGGTGGAGCTCAGCATCCGGGTCATTGACTCCAACGACAACAACCCGCTCTTCGAGGAGCCGGCCTACGCCGTCAGCGTGCCCGAGAACGCGCCGCCCGGCACGCCCCTGCTCCGCCTCAACGCCTCAGACCCCGACGAGGGCACCAACGGGCAGGTGCTCTACTCCTTCCACAGCTACGTGTCCGAGCGGGCCCGCCAGCTCTTCCACCTCGACCCGCAGAGCGGCCTGCTCAGCGTCAGCGGCGCCGTGGACTACGAGGAGGGCCACAGCTACGAGCTGGACGTGCAGGCCAAGGACCTGGGGCCCAACTCCATCCCGGCCCACTGCAAGGTGACGGTCAGCGTGCAGGACGCCAACGACAACCCACCCCTCATCAACCTGCTCTCGGTCAACAGCGAGCTGGTGGAGGTGAGCGAGAGCGCGCCGCCCGGCTATGTCATCGCCCTGGTGCGGGTCTCTGACCGCGACTCCGGGGCCAATGGGCGGGTGCAGTGCAAGCTGCTGGGCAGTGTGCCCTTCCGCCTGCAGGAATACGAGAGCTTCTCCACCATCCTGGTGGACGGGCGGCTGGACCGGGAGCAGAGGGACCAGTACAACCTCACCATCCAGGCCAGGGACAATGGGGTGCCCTCCCTGCAGGCCACCAAGTCCTTCACCGTCAAGATCACCGATGAGAACGACAACCACCCCCACTTCTCCAAGCCCTACTACCAGGTCATCGTGCAGGAGAACAACACCCCCGGGGCCTACCTCCTGTCCGTCTCCGCCAGGGACCCTGACCTGGGCCTCAATGGCAGCGTTTCCTATCAGATCGTGCCCTCCCAAGTCCGGGACATGCCTGTCTTCACCTACGTCTCCATCAACCCCAACTCTGGGGACATCTATGCCTTGAGGTCCTTCAATCATGAGCAGACCAAGGCCTTCGAGTTCAAGGTCTTGGCCAAAGATGGGGGCAACCCATCCCTGCAGAGCAATGCCACCATCAGAGTGATCGTTCTGGATGTCAATGACAACACCCCTGTGATAACTGCCCCACCTCTGGTCAATGGGACTGCAGAAGTGTACATCCCTAGGAATGCCGGGGTTGGCTACTTAGTGACAGTGATCAAGGCAGATGACTATGATGAGGGGGAGAATGGAAGACTGTCCTATGAAATGGCAGATGGAGATAGAGGGTTTTTTGAAATAGATCAGTTCAATGGAGAGATAAGGACCACCAGAGCATTCGGGGAGAATGCAAAGACTACTTATGAGCTGATTGTGGTGGCGCATGACCATGGAAAAACATCGCTCTCAGCTTCTGCCTTGATTTTGATATACCTATCTCCAGCTCTTGATGCCCAGGAATCCATAGGATCTGTTAACTTGTCACTGATTTTCATTATTGCCCTGGGTTCTATTGCCGCCATTCTTTTTGTCACCATGATCTTTGTTGCAGTCAAGTGTAAAAGGGATAACAAGGAAATAAGGACCTACAACTGCAGGTAATGTGAACTTGTTTCTTTGTACCATGCAATATGTGCTTTGATTTTTCAATGTAAATTACTTTTTGATTTGTTTTAAACCCACAGGTGTATTGCACTTACTTTAGGAGCAAAAATGGGGGTTCATGATATTATGTTGCTTTTAAGAAAATTTCCATAAACGTTTTTTTTTTTTTTAAATTACTCTGGGAGAAGTGTTTTTTGAAAAGAATATTCCAATCTGAATAAGTGTGTTTTGACAATCTGTCCTAATATAAATTTTCTTATGCATTCTGTAGCAGAACAAACCAATCTATCTTAAATCAGCATAGCTATTTCCTGAGAGTTTAGGGGAAAAAATGTACAGATTGAATGATTACCAAAAGAAGAGAGATCCCCGATTTTAGATTTCAGGAGAGAACTATGTTTCATATAGTTGCACTCACTCTTGGGTGAGCAGTACCATCCTGGTTGTAAAGCAAGGTTGGATTTTTGAAGCACTGAGTAGCTGAAAAGGAAAAAGCCCAACCTGAGGAGAGTTGTAGTAGGTGCTCGCAGCACTGAGTCAACACATAGGATAGCAAGTCCACACCTACAGTAGTAGTTGGTATTGGTGGGCTTTGCTTTAAGGTTCCTCTGCGTGGTGTTTGCATCCTGTCCCCACCAGAGGATGTCACTATGGGCATTTTTTATGTGTTGGTTTTCTCCAGGAGTGGTGGTTATAAAAGGAAAGTGGAAGCTGGGAGAACACACTATGAAAGAAATCACAGTTCAGCTAGAATTCACGAAGTGGAGCAATGCCCTTAAAGCTCTTTCTTTCCATGTAAAAGAACTATTATGCATGTATGTTTCAGGATGCAGCTCTTACAAGCAAAAATAAATCCAAAGGAATAGGGGGAAAAGAGTCATTTCCTTGAATAAACCCAATTCCTTGTGAAAATGTTATGGTTGATTTAGTTTTTATTGGTTGTTTTAATGATCATATTTACAACTCTGTATGATTTTGCAATGCATGATCACAAGTCCAAAATGAGGAATGGTAGGTCATCTCTGCATCTGAAACCTTAGCTGCTATGAAAGCCTAATATTTGAAATTGGGTTCCCTGAATATGTAACAGCCATGCGATTATTGTCTCTTTTACTATTCTCTATGTTACACAAGTTAGTAGACAAATGCTAACCACACATGAATATCAATCAGATGCCATAAAGGAGCAGCTGCAATGCCTCATAAATGGTTTAATCCTGTTACTAGTGAAATAGCCATGACTTCTTCATTCCTTCAGCACTGAATCTTTCAGATGGAAATTAATTTTGATCTACCTTTGTAACATACGATTGCCTGTGGCAATTTTATAGTGCAGAAGAATGTGCAGTCTTTAAAGTTTTATTTACAGAGATATAATAACGGAGAGTTCAGTTTTTATATCCTATTTTCACAACATAAAGCATGTTTATAAGCCCTTTTGCTGGATGGGGAAAAATCATCTGCAAATAAAGCACTGTATGTGCCATATTATGGGATGCCTAGCTTTAAGTGAGAGCTAATATACCGGATTTCTTGCCAGTTTGGTCCATTAAACAAGAATAGGATCTGAATGTCTAAAATCAAATCGTGGTGGTGCCCCTAACAACTTCATACATAGGACCAGGAGGCTTAATGTGTTTTAGGGATTAATGAAGTGCAGTTTAATTAAATAATTGGTCAATAGAGAAAGGACATCAAAATGAATGCTGTGAGAATTGGAATCTCACATTGCCAAACTTAAACATTTGAGGTGAGGTAAACAAAACAATTAAAGCTCTGTCAAGTGTTGTTAGACTAGCCTGCATGCATACAGATCTTTTGCACAACAAAAATCTCCTGAATTCCTTTTAATTTATTGACAAGCACAATGGACTGAACATTCTATTATCAGCGTAAATCTGATCAAGCGAAGTCAGCTGCAGAGGCGCAAAGAAGTACTGTATAGGCTTAGCTGTGTATTTGATCATCGTGCGTCCCATATGTGCATTTTGTGTATCTGTTTAGACTTGTCTTTTCTTTTCTTATTTTTTCAAGGTGCCTGTCAACATCTGCAGGAGGTTTTTCATAAAATTAGTTCATTTATGAGGCGTATATGAGAGCTGTTTGATTTGGTGTCTTTTTTTTTTTTCCTGCTCTGGCAGTTAGCTTTGTAGAGCAAGAATGCTTGTACAGTATTTACCTTTCTAGATAAACCTGTGTTACTTATTCTTCCTATTATCTCTTAATTGCAATTATTGGATTCCAAAAAACCCACCTTTTATCATAATATGAAAAGTAACAAACTCTGTACTTTCGAATGTATATTTCTGGTTATGGTAGTAGTTTAACATAATTCCTTTGAGAAGTATTGTGATGTCTGGCATCTTGTATGCATATCTATATCTGTGTGGCGTTGATAATGATACACGGTCCTCTGTGTCAAAAAAGAACCACAGTCACTTCAATCTAGATGTACAGGGATAATGCCAAGTGCAATCATGTTTTAAATTATTTTTTCCAGTAGTTTAATGATGACTTTCTTCCTTTGGTATTTTTTAAGAGGAAAAAGACACACATCCTGCATCAGTTCGTTCTTTCAGCAGGTACGAAGCAAAGGGGAAAAAGAGGCATAGAAAAACAAGCTGATGTAAGAAAAGGTCAGAAGGATAGTTTCTCTTTGAAAACACCATTTTTGCTCTCCAGTTTCTAGAAGAAAAACATTTCCCAGGAAGTGGGGAGGGGTATTGGGGGGAGGAGAGAAGAAAGGTTCAGGAGAAGATTTAAAGTTATCAAATGCTACCAGGAAAGAGTTGAAATAAAAGCAACCTGGAAACATTTTGTTATGCAAACAGCCTTTGGAGTGTGGTGGGATAAGTGTGCAAGATAAGAATATTGTGGAATTTGCTGTATTTACTGCTAAGATCTGAAGAAAAACCGCTAGTCATGCTGGTTTTTGATTTTCATGAACTAAACACTTTAAAAATCCTTATTACATATGAAAATTAATTCAGGTACCCTTTTCAGTTCATGGATCTTAACATTTCCATTTTTTCTTTTCTACAGGCTGAACTTTATTCCTGGTAACTAAATATCAGCAATTATAAACACCAAACAAAATACGGAGGAAATTTTCTCTTCCCTTTCTTTTTGTGTGTGACCTGTAAACTTTATACATATGAAAACAAGCTAAAGATCATATATTGCCATAGGATTCAAAACATGACATAATGTGCATGAATAAGAAGTCTGTGTTGAGATGGGGCTAAGCCCTCTGGGTTTCTTAATATTTATTGAGCAGGGCACAGTTCAGGATTCTATTAGATACTCATTTTGCTTCTTCTGTCCCACAGAATTGCAGAGTACTCCTATGGGCATCAAAAGAAATCAAGCAAGAAGAAAAAAATCAGCAAGAATGATATCCGGCTGGTACCACGGGATGTAGAGGAGACAGATAAAATGAATGTGGTGAGCTGCTCCTCCCTTACTTCATCTCTCAACTATTTCGACTATCATCAGCAGACCTTGCCACTGGGCTGCCGCAGATCTGAAAGTACCTTCCTCAATGTGGAGAATCAGAACACTAGGAACACAGGCTCCAACCATGTTTATCACCACACCTTCACCGGGCAGAGTCCCCAGCAACCAGATCTGATCATCAATGGAATGCCATTGCCAGAGGTGAGTGTGGCCAGAACTTTTACAAAGTTTGTGAGGCTGAATCTAAACAGTTTGAGAACCTCCCTAGCAGCAAATGAAAGTTTGGTGTATAGAACTTAGTGTATAAAGGAAATGTGTCTTGTTGCAAGTCATGCCTCCAGACTTTATAGTATCTGCTTCCAGAAGGAGTCAGATGTTAATGTAAATCTATGTACATATAATGCATTTTAATTTTTGCAGAGTATTATACTCCACACATCTGTTGGTGTTGTCATTGTCGTCTCTGGGCTCGAACACAGCAAGCAACAGTATTTAATGCGTGCTCTACGTGGATGTTCAGATACCGTGGTGATGAGCATAGTATAAATACACCTGTACCCCGATATAACGCGACCCGATATAACATGAATTCGGATATAACGTGGTAAATCAGCACTCGGGGGGGGCGGGGCTGCGCAGTCCGGCGGATCAAAGCAAGTTCGATATAACACAGTGATTTTTTTTTTTGCTCCCGAGGACAGTGTTATATCGGGGTAGAGGTGTACCTAGTGGTTAAGTTAAGAGTTGGCTATAAAAGTCTGAAGTCACATAAATCTTTCTAATGGAAGAACCAGCCACTGTAATCACTGACTTCAAATATGGGCACAATCCTGCAACTCTTACTCATGTGAGTAATTCTTACTTGCCACATGTAGTCCCAGTGAAGTCAACAGGACTGCTAACGCGAGTAATGATGACAGGGTCAGGCCCATGCTGTGTTAATAGTGTTGGTGGAGTGTTGTTTTTTCTTTTTTTGTGCTAATTTCAATCATTTTAGCTTTAACGGGATGACTCTTAAGGAAACATCAGATTAGTCAATAGTTAAATTCTTAAGTAGGTCTTTGAAGGTTTTTTTTTAATCTTTATATGTGGCCATTGGTACTATAGCAGGAATACACAGTGCCTCAGGGTTTTCACTTTAAATTAGGCAGCCGAGGTTCTAACCTCTCCCATATTGTCACCTCACTATTTGTTGTGAGTTAGTGGTGACCATTGAAATAGGTGATGGATGGTGTCTTCCTAAATATGAAGAAATGAGGCAGAGTGTCTGTCGCCCTGGTCACACTCACTGACTTCCTCTAATTCTGTCAGGTGTTTTCTGTACATCATGGGCATTGTTTACTGTTGCTTGTTTGTTTCTCTTTGAATTGTTGTTTGGTATTAAACAAAACAATCAAAGGTTTGTCATGTTTCCTACTTTAAACAGAATAACAAAGTTGAAAAAGCAGCTAAAATATTTATGGCCTACTCTAATCTGCTCTCAATACACCAGTGTAAATGCAAAATGAGTCCACTGAAGACAGTGGAGGTGCTCTAGATTTATACCTTTTTGTCTACCCAGCGATTAAACACCCAGGGCTGGCCTGGGTCAGCTGACTTGGGATCACAGGACTCAAACTACGAGGCCGTAAAATTGCAGTGTGGATGTTTCGTCTTGGGCTGGAGCCTGGGTGCTGGGACTCTCCACCCTCATGGGGTCCCAGAGTTCGGGCTCCAGTCCAAGCCCAAACATCTACACTGCCATTTTACAGCCCCACGAGCCCGAGTCATCTGATCTGGGCCAGCTGCAGGTGTTTAATTGCTGTGTAGATATACACCAAGAGCACAGTTTTGCCCTTAGTGTCTGGCTGCAGGCCTATTTTAAAGCAGTTGGTGTCTGTGGGCCTGATCCTGCAGTCCCTATGTTGTCAAAATTCCCACTGAATTCACTGTTTGTAGTGTCATTATAGCTGTGTTGGTCCCAGGATATTAGGAAAAAAAAAAGGTGGATGAGGTAATATCTTTTATTGGAGCAACTTGGGTCGGTGAGAGAGACAAGCTTTTGAGCCACACACAGTTCAAGGTTTAGGAAAGGTACTCAAAAGTGTATTGCCTAAATACAAGGTGGAACAGATTGTTTAGCATAAGTAGTGAAAACACATTTTAAGGGTCTATTCAAAGTGAAGTGACCCATTAGCACTTCTGTAGTCATAGGACAAAAAAGGTGCCATTAGTGAGTTAGATTGTTGTATTAAGCCATAAATCCAGTGTCTCTATTAAGACCATGATATTTAGTGTCTAGCAAAGTTATGAACTTAAGCTCCACTGCTCGTCTTTTGAAGGTGTTGTGCAGCTTTCTTTTGAGGACAAGGACTGAGAGGTCAGATGTGGAACAATCGTTTTTTGAAAAATGTTTACCCTGGGGTTATATGGTGTTCCTGTCTTTTATCATTTTTCTGCGTGAGTTCATTCGAGAGCGTAGTGATTGTCTGGTTTCACCCCCATGGTTGCTATGGAGGCATTTAGTGCATTGGATGAGGTACAGCACACATTCTGTTAGGCATGTGTAGAACCTAAGGCTCTTGAAAGGTGTGTTGTGTGGGGTATTGATCATTGTAGCAGTGGAGATATGTCTGTAGGTTTTGCATGTGTTGTTAAGGCAGGGTCTGGTGCTGCTTTGAGTTCTTGGGCCCTAGTCTGTGGGGAGATTGCTTCTGATGATGAGCTAGGCGAAGTTGTTTGAAGAGCAGAAGCATTCACTAGAATTTTAGCCTCCATTTGCACTGCATAATTAGGTCCTTTAAAGGGTAGCTTTTGGTGGACCCTGAATAGGGATATAATCCTTTGGTCTTGAATTATTATGGAGTCCCTAGGTAAAATCCAGGTGTAGAGTTTTAAAGGAGGGATTTAGTTTGTAATTAAAAGGTGACTCTTAGTTGTCTTCTAGGTCTTTCAGATATCATCTGCTTTTACCCCTGCTTGCATTCCACATCTGTCCTGCCATAGCAGCTCCAGACTTTTTACATGTTGTCTTACGGGTTTGCCTTTTTCAAGGTTACCCACTTAGATGCACTGAGACAACTTCTGCATCAGTGCACAAGCACACAGAGCCAGTACTGAATATAACAGCCTGTAGCTGCCAGGAGTGAGAGAGTGTCTAAATGCAATTAGGAGGGTACAGATGAAGTAATAGAGCACTGTTCCACAGAATTAAAGCTCAGTTTAACCTCTGGTGTAGATATAAAAGCTGTAATCAAGTGTCTTGGCTATACCTGAATGGCATTGACTTGTATATAATAACTTGTATAATTTACTGTATAGGCCAGGTCTACACTAGGAAATTAGGTTGGTATAACTCTGTCGCACAGGGGTGTGGGTTTTTCACACCCATGAGTGATGCAGTTAAACAGACCTAACCCACGGTGTAGAAAGTGCTAAGTTGACAGGGGAATCTCCCATCGGCATAGCTGCCACCTCTTGGGGAGTTGAAGTACCTATGCTGATGGCAGAAGCTCTATACAGTGGCACAATTGTAGCGATTCAGCTGTGCTGCTGCAGCCATTTAATTGTAGACTAGATACAGATACAGACCTGAGGCAGAACCCCTGATCCACATGCCCTCATACTTTAGGAGAGTTTGGATCAGTATCTAGATCTGAACTCTTTGGCTCAGGCTTGTCTTTAATTACGTATGCTAGGGAAATTGATCATACAGCCATCTTTGAACCCTCAACTCAGGTGGGCTTGAGAAAAGGTGAAGAATTCCAGAATTTGTTAATATTAGGGCCCCATCAAGATTCAGGCTCATCTGAGCACTGCATAGAATAATATTTGAGGGGTGGAATGTCCGAGAGTTCAGAGCACACTCCCCCCCTCCCCCCCTCCCCAAGGTTGCGTGCAAGCAAAGGCTTTTAGTATTCTGGGGGCAGTGTCCCATGAATAATTCCTGCCTTTATGGATGGAAGAATGGTATCGTTTGGAGGAGGGTCTCAGAAGTGTTATTGGCTGCTGCTGCTGCCTATCTAAAGGCATTGGTACTCCAGAGCACTGTAGGAGCCTCCCATGCAGTTTCTACATAAGGGCAGTTGAGCAACGTTGTGAGTGCTCTGAGGTCATGATTCAGTATTACAGACTAAATTCAATCATAAAATCCATCACACGTTGGTATTAACTAGAACTGTCTGTGGGCAGCTGGAGGTCTGCAGTATTTGGGAAGAGGAAAATATCAGGGTAGACATCATAGCTCAGCTGCTAAAGTTAGTAGACATACTCAGCCAGAATACATTTATGTACAAATTTCTCCCTGATGCAGCTGCATTACAGTTAAGCTTTGGATCCAGCTGGGTGTGAATCTCCCCGAAGAAGCCTCAACTCTATTAACTCTGTTTTTTTTTCTATTAGGGAGGCAGGACACAGGCAAAAGGGAATGGCATTTCCCTACATTTCTTGTCCATAACTTGAGTCCCTCTGTCACTTCTTATAAGCTTAATGTATTAGAAGGCACTGAAACATGGAGTGTTGAAATGAACTTTATTGTATTAACAAATGAAATGTTCCTCTCCCCCGCCTCAGTGTCAGCTTAAAATGTTGTATGCCAGCAGTTAAACTAGAACTGCACAAGGGGCAGGTACAAGATTTTCACAGTTCTATTAAGAATACAGGAAGCTCTTTCACTGGGTGAGCTCAGAAAGTCTCATCCAAAGCCAGTTGAAATAAATGGGAGACTTTCCATTGACTTCACTGGTCAAGGCCTTGCACAAGTATCTTCAATGGTCAGGTCTTGCACAAATCCAGCTCTGAGAATGTCTCTCCACCAAGGCATTGTCTGTGTCCTAACTTATATCCCTTGAGGAGAGGGAATGGACGAATAGTCCGTGCACCTCAGTTGCAATGCTGGAGGTGTTGAATGTTTTCCGCACTGCATGCCACGCCTTCATATGAAATGTAGGATTAGGAGTGTTCAGCCCCTGAGAGATCTGACTGGGATCTCTAAGGGCTTTTATAATCCCATCAGAATGCTAGTTCCAAATGATCCCCCTGCCATGTGATGCTGAGCGGAGCAAGTGGATCTATGGTAGCATCCCTGTAGCACGTATCCTCCCCCTTACGAGAGTTGCGTGTAAGCTGGTCTCTGTGAGTGTGAGGCTGAAGCCAGCAAAGATGGGGGCAGAGTTGGAGAGCAGCTGTGCTACATGATATGCTCCCAAGGGAATGTGGACTAA